GCCTGTAATCCTAGCACTTTGGGAGGCTGAGGTGGGTGGATCACCTGAGGTCAGGAGTTCAAGACCAGCCTGGCCATCATGGTGAAACCCCATCTGTATTTTGTAAAAAAAAAAAAAATTAGCCGGGCATGGTGGTATGTGCCCGTAGTCCCAGCTACTCGGGAGGCTGAGGCCAGAGAACCGCTTGAACCCGGGAGGCAGAGGTTGCAAAGAGCCGAGATTGCACCACTGCACTCCAGCCTGGGCAACAGAGGGAGACTCCATTTCAAAAAAATAATAAATTTAAAATAAAATACAATAAGAATTTCTTGAAGACAACTGTGAATCCATCCTTTTCTTTTGAGTACCATTTCTCTTCCTTTTCATTCCTTTCTTACCTTGGTGTCTTGGGGTTGGAGTATAAATACTTGCAACCTCTTCTGAGTCGTTAATCTCTAGACGCTCATCGTATGTCTGGTTTTCAACAACCTTGGTCTAAGCAAAAGGAGACACGATTACATAGCTCCTATCATGGGACATTAAGCACTGTGCCAGGAGGTATATTCCAAACCAGCATTGGCTCCTCTTCCTTACCCAAGAAACCAGCTTTTCATAAAAACGTCACCCCATCCAAATTTTCCTTAAGGCTTCTTGGCCCCCAGTTAAGCAGTTAAGTCATTCTGTTGCAGTCTCTATTTAAGAATTGCTGGGCCTGGCGCGGTGGCTCAAGCCTGTAATCCCAGCGCTTTGGGAGGCCGAGGCGGGTGGATCACGAGGTCAAGAGATCGAGACCATCCTGGTCAACACGGTGAAACCCCGTCTCTACTAAAAATACAAAAAATTAGCTGGGCATGGAGGTGCGTGCCTGTAGTCCCAGCTACTCAGGAGGCTGAGGCAGGAGAATTGCCTGAACCCAGGAGGCGGAGGTCGCGGTGAGCCGAGATCGCGCCATTTTGCACTCCAGCCTGGGTAACAAGAGCGAAACTCCGTCCCAAAAAAAAAAAAAAAAGAATTGCTGGCAGGCTGGCTGAGCAACCAGGGAATCGCGGAGGGAAAGAGGGCCAAGTTCTGCAGCTTCCCAAAGCTGTAAGACCACGCCCAAGGGCAGAACACTATTCGTAAGTCGATGGCCAAGGCTGATGAGGTTTCTCAAGGGAGGCTGTAGAGGTTCTAGGAAGAGTTTTTTCTCTGGAGCCACCTGTGGGGTGGGGTGGGGTGGGGTGGGGTGGGAGGGTCCCCAAAAAGAGGGGAAACTCCAGTCTCTCGGTCCCATCCAATAATCCCAAAAGCATCACCTCCACCTTCACCCTCGTCTTGCAGATAAGATCCCACCTAAGCCTGTCGGGGAATAAAGGAAGCAGGACGGTTGGTAGTGAGGTGGCGAAGCAACAGTTATCACGGAGATGGGAAGAGGTAACTGGGGATGGGGTAAAGGGGAGTCCTCTTAAGCCCCTCTAGAAAGACAGTACCCTTTCTGCTGGGGTGAGTACTAATTACCTGTAGCCCCTCTGAATCCGTGTCCTCTATAATGGAAAGAACCCCAGCCTAGGGCTGGGGTACCACTCCAGTGTCAAGGTCAGGCCACTTGAGAGATTCTACGCCGAGCACCTGTTTTCAGTCGCTAGGCAAAAAGGTAAGTTTTAAAATTCGCGAGATTTGCTTCCACTCTCGTGAGACCTCCCGCATGTTACGCCTCATCCGCGAAGGCTGTCTACGCAGGAAGAAGATCCAGGGGGCACGGATAAAGCCTCTCTGGGCGGCCAAGTCTCCTGTTTGTCTATGGTTTCAGTAAATGCGTCTGTTGCGGCATCTAGCGGCTGCGGATGGCAACGCCGGCTGATGAATTTTCGGGCTCGCAGAGTTAGCTCTGCAATCTGGAAACGGTGTGCGTTTGTTCCACCTAGGACAACAATCTCTGGGGGTGCAGTTCCTCCTAGATCAGTCTTACCAGAATGTAGACACACTCTCTAGGGAAAATTCTGCAGCATGCTGTACGTCCTTTTCTAGCACTATGTTACATTATAGTCTCCCCCACCACAGGGTGCCATGGCATGTGACATACTTATACTAATAAGTTATTCCTTGTGTATCTGAGGTTCAGTTTTTTTTTTTTTTTTTTTTTTTTT